ATTAGGCGTAATTGACAATTTCTATAGTTTGATAATGTCCATGACATATACTTATAAATAATTAAAAACATTTCTATTGTATACTGTCTTACCCAGCACTTAATAATTACGGATATACATATATTATACAATAACTTTGTGGATTTTTACAGCATTCTACTATGTTTAATAATAAATGACTTTATTCCCATGTTTCTTATTATACAATCTACACAAAGTATGTACACCAATCATAAAATATATAGATATACAAAAACAAAAAAAACTTAAATTGGATTAGACACTCTTTGGGGCATTATATTACACGTTTTTAATCAAGTGGGGAGATGGTCTAGGCACCATTTTTTTTAAAAATCTTTTGAGAGGGTTTTCGAGTATAGGTAAGTATAAATCCTTTGCAAGGATGTTTGAGTGATTTTTCAAGGAATTATGGTAACGAGTGTAGTAATTTCTAGCAGTCTGTGTGATTGTTTTTGGGTCAGAGTGCAATGTTTTATTTGAGGCGTAAAATGAGGCGTTTGTGATGAATCAGAAAAATTGTATTTTAGGATATATATTATATATAAATATATCTCATTTAAATAAGATTTTTTGACAGATACCTAAAATTGTATGCTATTAGTTTTAGAGAAAATGTGCATGGATTTAATTTTGTGTGAAAAGTAAGTTTTGACAACGAAAGGAGGATTTATCAGAGTAAGCGAAGACGAATTACTTTGGTTTTTGTACAGTGGATATGGCATGACCAGTTCAATTTTTTGTTGAAGCGTACTTCAATGTATTTTAATGCAATCGGGATTTATATTACCGTTTTATTAATTATTGTTATCGGAGGCCATGTTCCATGTTTAAGTATAAAGATGATATACAATGTTTTGTTTCATAAATTTTAACTTTCCAGTTTTTAAACCATGATTCGAGATTATGAAGATAGGATTTAAGATTTTTGGGAAAATAAGAGGATAGAAAAACGGCTTTATCGTTAATGTATTCCGCGATTATATATGTTTTGACAGATGTGTTAGTCAGAAATAAAAATGTAAAAGGGCAGTGGAGAATTTATCACTTATTATAGGACCACAGTAATTATTGTGAATATGAATGATAAATGTGCATAGCAGCAGACAGGTTAAGTACGATTAAAAGATTTTAAAATATGAATGTGATAAGATTTTTTTTTTTTTTATTTAATAAATAGGATTTTGTGCCATTTTTGGTCAAAAGCTTGGACAATGTCAAAAAAGATTGTTGAATAATATTGATTTTTTTCCAGTAAGGTTAAAATTGTATTTATTATGTGATTAATTTGGTGAGTCGTGGAGTTTAGATAGTGAAAACAAAATTGAGTATTTAGGATATAAATAAATTATATAATATGTAAAATAAGACATAACATAATAATAAGACAGAAGAAAAAACATTTACTTAACAATTAACAGAAACCAATAATGTTAATTTAACTTGTATGTAGAATATTATCTAATTGTTTTCTTTTTATAATATTATAAAAATCAAATAGAAAGCTATAAAATAATGGTGAATTGTCCACATTTAAAATTTATAACGATAAACCAATAGAAAATAACCAAAAAATATTCTTATTAGTTTCATAACACATAATATAAACGTCTATTATTTTAATTACTTTAGCCAAATACTGTTACTTTTTAATTGTCATTAATTAATCTAAATACATTAGCTACATGACATAATATTATTCTTAATGTTTACCAACGTCACATTAAAAATATCAACATAATGTACTACTAAATTATTTATTTACTTACATGCATTATATATCTTTTTAGGTTAATTTATCCACAATATTTATAAATTTTAATACCTAGTATAAGTTAGTAAATACGATACAATTTAAAAATGAATTCAGTTTAAATATTCTATATGAAATATATAATCAGTTAGGGGTAATCTAATATCACTAATAACTACTAATATTATTTTGTGAAATCATTGTGAAATAATATTAGATATTTTGATTAATTCAAAATTTAACAAGATGATAAATGTATTTGTTTAAATTTGAGTACTTTCTCCAATATATATTTGTGTACATTTCAAAAATATTTTAACGATACACCACTTATATACCTAATTGTTTATTTTAATATCTTGAACAGACGATGGGGCAGACAAAATTGACTGTTTAGTTAACCTTACTAACCGACAAGATTCTATTACATCAATATTATCCTACGGTACAGAAAACAAAATATAATGTAATATTAAAATTGAACACCAATAAACGGTACAATACCTAATTAAAATAACTAAATTATAATTAATATTATTCTATATGTAAAATAGTTGCTATTTATATTATCTATTTTGTTATTATATTAATATCATTAATAAATAATAATATAGATTTTATTCAAGTTGTATTTTCATTAGTAAGATAAAAAAATTACCACACAATGTAACAAACAATACTAACATAAAATAGATAATACATGATTTATCGATCAAGACTTGAAAGATCTTTTTTACTTACTTTGATTAATCTATAGTTTTAAATATTTAATTTATTAAATATTTAAGTCACTGATGTCATTATTATACCTCCAATAATAATCAAAAATGTTATGCCTCAGCAAAATTTATAATTTATTGATGCCATTAAAATATTAATATTCTATAAATCTAACCTATAAAAATTCATTTATAGTAATTTTATATATTAAAGCTATACTTTTCATATTATAAAAAGGTATTTAGTTACACAATATGAAATGCATCTTAAATAGTTATAATTTTGGTTTTAATAAATAATAATTATTTAATTTGGAATTTTATAAAGAAAAAAAAATATTAATAATATCATTATTTATAAAATTCAATGTGTAAACATTTTTCATTGTTGATACAAAAAACTAATCTTATTCGATTTGGTAAAAATAATTAAAATTTAAATGCAAAAATTGTTTAAACTGATTTATATATAAGATTAAAAAATAAATAAATACTTGTTTTATTATTAATGACTAAATTATGTGAACTGTAAAGTAAGTAATTTATAGGTAAATTTTATTATACAATAATAAATATTTATAATATGCATAACAATGGTTTTTAATTAACTTCATTGAAATTTGAAGATTTGACATTTATCTTAAACATTTTATAGACTTAAAAAATTAAGTGTAAATACATAAGCTAATAAATATTATTTTAACTTTTCTTATTTAAGAGGATTTCAAAGTAATATATTCTGTTTCTTCTTTTAAATCTATACACAACGTAGATAAAATACATTCATATAAATGTTTTTTTTTTAAGATTTTCGAGTAAATTTAGAGTAAAATCACCTATAATAAAAGTTATGTGAAATAATATTTTTGAGAATTAAGCATACACTTTATATAATATTTCTTTATTATTTTTCTGTATTAATTAAAAATAAACAGGGCTTGCAAACGTTATAATAACATTATGATTATAACGTTATATTTAACAAAAACGATTGAAATTTGTAAACGTAATTATAACGGAAAACGATAAACATAAATAATTAAGTAGCACAAAATAAAACATAACAATTAACAAAATATATGATATATCATCAAACAAAACGTAACGTAAAACGTTAAAATATATAGTATATCATTAAAAAAATAAAATAAATAATTTCAATTATTTAATTAATTATTATAGTAAAAATTTTAATTCTAAATAACGATAAATGCAAAATTTGTATAACCAAATGCAAGCCCTGAAAAAAACGAATAAATATGTAAGTGTATAATATGCAGTTTATTTGAGATAATATTTAGATGAATTGATATGCTATATATTCAAAAATATTATTCTCTATAAATTATATCATGTGTAGTTTTTCTTTAAAATTAGATACCTACTCAGAAAGATGAAAAAAATTAATTTTACATTTTCTTGGTAAAATGACATAATTATGATTATGTTTATGTTTAAATCGTCGCTGGTAATACATATTACAAATTTTAACAAGTGTTTCGTTTATTTGTTAAATTACATATTAATCAATCGCTTATTGAAATATAAAATTCAAAATATTAAGTAGTTTTTAATGAATATTCTATAATAGTTTTGTTTATTTTATTAAAACCAATAAACATCAATCATAACAACAGTAGAAACAACAAACAAAACACTGTTCGGTTACTGTATAGTGTATTAGTGTTAAATATTGCAGGAATGTGACGAAATAATAACCCCAAAAGAAAAAAAAAACCGGAAATGAAAGTTTACTCTAAGTGATTGATGGATGTACGCGGCCCTCGTACAACCTGTTGCTTTAGCTATGTCAATCCCTATAAACGTTTGTGTAATGTTATTATCTTTGATATCATCACGAGTATTCTATTATAACTTGATATCATATCGATCTCATTATTCAAACCTTTTAGTGGATGGAGTGTGCCTACATTAATAATATGTTAAAAATCGTATTTTACATTTTAACCAGGTCGAAATATAGTGAATAACACTAAGCCCGCAATATTTAGATGCTGTAAATAATGTCAGCGAGTTTTTTTGATTTAGAAGTGGGAGATTAATTTTCTGAAATTGTTGTCGCCTTTCAAGGAGAATGACGGGGGACAAAAATACGACACGCATGGGAAATTAGATGTTCATGTATTATTTTCCTTGTCGGTCAAAAATTGTCTTTTTGTTTTAACAACAATCGGGACATTTTGTGGAAAACGATTCTGACGTTATTTTTTATTTTTTTGTTATTTTCCGCATATATATCCACTTCTGCGAGCATTCGCTTCGAAACTGCAGACAACAATGGTAAAAAAAAAAAAAAAATAAAGAAAGAAAATCACCATTATTTGTGATATCAAGATAGGGTGCTACAATAATAATACACATTACGTGAAAATTGAAAAACTTGGATATTTTACGAGTCTGAACGTTATAAAAATGAGTAAATATAATATAATAAATATATATTACATTTGCCACCTTATCTGTTTTTCCTTTTTTTTTATTCTACTCACCACCATCTGATATATAGCGTCTACGATGTTATACATCTCGTCTCGGGTTATGAAACCATCGTTGTCGACATCATATAGACGAAAAGCCCCTGAAATATAAAAATTAAACACCGTTTTAATATTTTTACTTTTCATAGCTATTGGCATAAGATAATTTAAAATAATTTCACAAGTTTGTAATATCATGTGTAAGAACAAACAGTAAAGTTATCATTTATAACTATAGAACATTTAAATGTATAATTTGTGTAGATTATTTAACGTGCAATACCGAAAAGCAGGTTGCTCAGGGTGATATTTTTTCCGTTTTAATTTTCGAAAGTATGGTTATTGTGTTAAGCGTCACAGAAAAAACACTGATTTAATTAAAAATCGATTAAACTATTTCTCGTTTAGTGCTTAACACAACAGGTATAACATTTGTTTGGTTTACTTACTATATTATAATAGTAATATTATATGCCTTTGATGTGTTTTGCTTAGTTAAAAAAACACACAAAGAGATAATGTATAAAATTCGTGCTAGTCATGGGTTTACTTTGTAAGTGGACTACTAAACGTGGTATAAACGTTTAGTATGATATAGTCTCATGAATATTGTGTTATAATTTATATGTATTAAAAACACAAAGAAAAGAAAATTATTTAAATTTTAAATCATTGAACTGTAAATTATTTTAGTACAATTATCACATATATGCTCATAGCATGACTTTTTATACTTTATAACGATGGCTGTAGTTATCATAACCTCTATTAAAAAAAAATAATAGGTCATCATTAAAATTCGCACACTTTGATACGTTAATTTCATACAGTTTTTCCTAAATTAAGTCGTTTAATGTAATACACATACTGGTATATATCACTAAGGAACACCATTTCTAAAATCAGATTACCGTTTAGCTCAATAAATAATCAATACTTAATATAATATTTGAAGAACTCCAGGGAGTAAATTTATTCCAATATTTTATACTATACATTCTTTATTTTATTCTATTATATATTTATTTATTTTTTTTTTTATTAAATAATATTAAAATTGTAAGGTCTTATATATTTAATTATTTTTCGACGATTTATTTAATAACAATTAATAATACATTTTTCATTTTGAATTGTTAATTAAATGTGTGTAGTTTTTATTTTTATTTTATTTTTTTTTTTTTTTTTTTGGACATTTGTAGTTTAAAGTTTACATTGTATTTACATTTGATTATTGGTTTTTAAGTATTGACCTTTTAAATTCACCTTTTTTTTTACAATAAAAAAAAAAAATGCTCTATATTTAATGGTGTAAACACTATGCAGTTATTAATGACGCCCGTATTGTATACATTATCGATCTCCATGGATATCACAATCCTATAAATTAAATCGTTCTTCATAACAAACCAAACAAACCATATGATGCATACACTACAGTCGTAATCATAATATTATAGCAGAGCGTTATTACTGCATTTATTACATAATTAAAAGTGCAAACGCGTATATTGCATTATTGTATACATTGTACTACGTAAAGGTTTATGCAATCGATTTAATAATATAATATTTATAACAAGAATAATATAATATGTAGTAGGAATGGAAAAATGTTGTTTTCGTGTTTAAAGCAATCGTTTTCCCGTAGTCTACATTTTGCAATGATATTATTGTTTATATTACATATTTATTACCTATATTTTACACATTATTTGACTTAAAACCTTATATTTTACCTACCTAGTTGATTTTTTTTTTAGGTACGTTCAATGTGCTTTATGAAATCAATAACTTTTCTTCATAAGATTTTCATAGCGTTTTTTCTTTATAATTTTAAATGTAATTTATCAATTACGTATGAACGTTATACGATAGATTATATAATTACAATTTATTACATTACACCATTACAAATTTAATAATTTAAGCAACTAAAATGAAATAATATTTAATAACGATTGTTTATTTTATCGAAAAAATAATATTATTAAGTTTTTTTGTTGCCGTTTTATCTCAATTTGTATACAACTAACAAAATTTACTATTTAAATTAAGTTAGGTCACAATAAAAAAATCCAAGAATATTAATAAAAGTGAAAAAAAAAATGCTAAGTAAAAGTATTATAATTTGTTCCTGATAAATTATTCGATTTGTATTTTATTATCAAAGATACTTCTATTGTTTTTATGAACACCTATATTAATTCAAGTGATCATTATTAAATATTTCTTATAATATTATAAGAAATATTCTCAATTGTATTTCCATCGGTTAATAAAACATATTTTACTATCTTTACTACAGGTATGTAAATAAATACAAATTGTAGAAAATGAAATGATATGACATAATATTTTATGTATTCAATCTATTTTTAACTAAAATATTATTGAAAATAAAAGTGCAAATTGGACGAACGTTTCAATTTATGATAATTCAATTCGTTATTGATTTCAATTACTATTAGTCATTATAAATATCTACATCACAGTCATGAATCGAAACTATATTTTACAACAAATTTTTCTTAAAACGTAAAAATCTTTTTCTTTTTAGTATGAGTTATGAATATTATATTTATATACTGTAATACCTTCTTTAAACTACGCCCTACGGCTGCTTTGTTTTACATGTTCTAAATAAGTCCTTGACAACAAATCTAACATATCTAGTACGTTAAATTCATTGCCAAGGATACTATAATTATGCGTTTGCACCAACATTAAAATACATTTTATATTTATAAATAAATGCATGATTATTTTATTAATAGATAAGAACGTTTTTATAGGTTTGGTATTATATTGTAACACGTGTGTTTTATTTAAATTACTAAAAAATATTAAATGTAAGAAAACGTCCGTCAATTAAATCTGGTTATTTTTGTGAACGTGTAGTTTGCAGAGTAATGATTAATTTTAAAATTTGGAAAGTTATAAATTCATTATATTAATAACTATAACAATAATTAATATTATTATCATATATTCTTAATTTCATATATTGTCTCAATAAGTAGTCTTATTGCCTAATTACTTAATTAAACAAAAATTAAACTTAAAATTAAAATAATAGATATAAAATACTATAATCCGGAAAAATGTATATATTTTGATCATTCATTGTATTACTAATAAAGTCAGCAAGTAATACAAATATTCATTATAATATGTCGTATTTACCAATAGTTAAAGTTTTTTTTTGTACGAAGTTACTTTTTCTAAATTTGTAAAAAATATGTTATTAAAATATTTGTTTTTCTTATCATGCTAACTCAAATTTATAAAAATAAGTTATATTCTATTAATAAAAGATAAATAATAACTAAAAAAAAAAAAAAAAAATGCGGTGTCTTAAATTTATGGTATGATTAATCATTAAAATCATATTTTTAAATAAAAAAAATTAGGATTCCAAATAGCATAGGAACTATAAAGTAAAACAAATACCTAGCAATATTTTTATATTTTTTATAATAAAAATACATCTAGCCATATTACATTACTGATAAAATATGTTATATCTATTATTTAAACATTTCAGAAAGCGTTTATACTGACTAAATCTACTGTTGTTTACCCCTCTATGGAGGGCATACCATTTTAAATTATTATATTTTAACAAAATGTAAAAAAAAAAAATAAAAATAAAAATGAAAATATTTTCTCTTCAATAAAATATTGCACCTGTCACATTGAATATTTGGTATATTGTTGTAATGTATATGATAGCAGTATAAAGTACATCCCTACTATATTATATTATATAAATAGGTACCTAATGTTCATATTTTTATTTTATTATCTCTCATAAATCACTGCGTAAAACGGTAATGGAAGAAAAGAAGGGAATAAAAAATGAAATAATATACATTATTTTGATCACGTGGTACAATAGTATCCATTTAATTGTACTGCATATTTTTTAAATCGATTGCTATGATTTTTAGTAAGAAAAAAAGTTTTTTTTAATTATTTCACTATATTTATTTATTTTTATTCATCTAAATTTTCAATTTATTACTCTAAATTTTAATAATACATTGAAACATTAGTGTTTAAACATCGAATATTTCCTCATAACTATTATGTTTTCATAAGAAATACAATTTAAATAATTAAAGTGAATATAGTACATCTAAACGCATTTTACCTACAGAGAACTCCGATACTAATCTTATACTTAAATTAGGATACTTTAAACTATATAATTAAAATCATAGTAAAAATATTTTATTCAAATATACCACAGCAAATCGATTAAGTTAAACATCATACGTTACTTCGTGTATTGATTAACAGTAGATATTTACTAGTTGCTTGGTCATCTATCGTACGTATAAATCGGTAATCATTTCAAATCATATTGCTTATAATTATTACATTATCGTGTATAATATCTACAGTATATATGTAAATACTGACAATACCTAGTACTTATATTAATCCACAGATTATCCACACATTTATATGTGGTATAGACGATAAAGTGCGATCCGCTATCTCAAATCCCACAAAATTAAATGACATGATGTTTTGCGTGAAATTCTATTTATAATATTATACTTGATATTTGCGAAAATCAATTTATTAAAAATTTTAATAACCACGTATCATACTAGTACGCGATTTTATTTTTATTGTTTTTATTAAGTCACTCACAAAAATGTGTTGAACATTTTTAAATATAGGTATTTCATAAAATATATATATCAATCATATCATTGATTCAAATTTGTACATTATTTATGCACATAAAAATCATTTAATAATTAAGATAATAATATTGATGTTTTATGTGATAGAACTGTATTTTTAACTAAAAATGTATAATCAATAAAATATTAAAGTAACTAAGATAAAAAGAAGTTTTTATTTGTTTCTAAAATATTGTTTTAGGATGAACAACTTCATTAGCTTTTGTCTTTGTCTGATCACATTAAATTTTAATTTTGTGGACACCTATTTTACGTATTTGCTTAACTTTTAATATGATTAGTAAAGTATAATAATTAAATGATGTTGTGCAAAATAAAAAGGTTTTTTTTTTTAAAACTCAGTTGCTGGTTTTTGAATTTCACATAGTAAAACCTCATGG